CTCTGGGAACCCCTTCCCACCTGGCTGTCTCAACAAAGGACCTTATTTCCCTTTTCCATGAGTTATCAGATTTATGGATCCAAAGAATGTCTCAGACAATGTACTGACTGGCGTACATCTCTGTAAACCAGGTGCTCAAATGGACTAAATGGTAGCACCACCAGCTCCGCGCATAGTAGATGGACAGCTGCAGACAATGAGTCACCCTGAAGGATGCCATAGAGGAGGTCCCAGGGCTCCTTGTTTTGGTGCCAGCCAGCACCTCCATAGAGCCTTAGAGAGAAGCAGGGGCATTTTTGTCAGACTTGCAAATGGCACACACCTGGGATGGATGCTCCAAGTGAAAGATGATGGAGTCGATACGGAAAATCAACTAAATCAGAAAATCAGATGCCCCACTCTGGCAAAACCAGTGGGTCAGACATTGCAGGAGCTCCTTCACACTTAGGGCGCCCTCACAAGCTGGGGAAGCCTAGTCCAACAGCAAGGTGTCGTGTGGGAAGCTGCTGACTGATGGATAGGGATAGCAAATGTCATGGAAGCTGACGATGGAGACACTGCCAGGAGAAGCCAGCACAGCCTGGATTGCATGGAACCGACCCCTGGGAAAGCCTCACGCTGCTGGCCAGGTCACATCTGGAATTCAGCCTTCCATTCTGGACACCCTGGTTTAAGAAAGATGGGAGGGAACAAGGGTGCATTCACGGGAGAGGCATTCAGGGGAGGACATTCCAGGCGGAAGGTGAAGGGTCTGGAGAGAGGAGGAGTGATGGAGAGACAACGTCAGCTAAGCTTGAGCTTGGAAGGAGGACAGTCAGAGACCAGACCTTATCACAGGCTGCAAGAATTTCCCATGCTGCAGGGAGAAAACAAATGGTTATTGAAAACCCAAAGTGACTGTGGCTGGCCCTGCCTCCCAGGGAGAGAGGTATAACTCCTGCTGGGGGGACTTAAATCTGGCCTCCGGCCCCCTACCCTTGCCGAGGAGCAAAGAAGAAAAGAATGGGCCTTTGGGGACCCCAGCAGAGCTGCTGTGCTGCGGAAGTGGGGGCTCATGGTTGTCAGAGCTGGGGTGAGGGGGAACGAGGGTGGAGCCTGGAGGCCATGGGGGCTGGGGATACATGGCCCTAGAAAACACCAATGGGACTTTAACTGGGGAAGAAGCAGGCAGGGCGTGTGCAAAGCGGGAAGCGGGCTAGGAGGAAAGGAGGTGCCTGAGCCAACAGGCAAAGGTGCTGAGGGTGGGAGGGTGTTCTTTTGGTGGGAGGTGGAACGGCTCTGTAATGCATGACTGGGGCTATTGGTTGAGTGGGACTGTGGTGTGAGCTTTTCTTCATCACCAGGCCAAACACTGCACAGTTACTTGCACACAAATGCTTCTGTGAATATGTTGGGGAAACAGACCTGTGTTCCAGGGTGATGGGGGCCATAAGCAGCCAGTGCCGGGGATGCTGAGGTGAGGGCTCCTTCAGCAAAGGTAGGACTGAGAGGGAAACTGTAGCTACTCCCCTACCTGCTCTCCTCGTCCCCAGGAAGAGCAGGAGGGAGGTGGGGTCCCCCCACATGCAAATGAAGAGTTTGAGGCAAGAATTTGTAGAGCTCAGCTAACAAAGAGGTTTTACCCAAAAGGGGTCAACATGCTTGGTGCTGTTCCCTAAAGAGAATTAGGACATTGGATGAGGCCACTGGGCAGAGCGTCCTTGTCACCAGACAGAGGAGCTGATGATGGGCTGGGCCTCCATGGGATGCCATCTAACCCCCCAGGTTTTAGGGGAAGCTGACAGTCACCACATGCAGATAACAGAGGGGGAACTTGAAGACAAAGAGCCAGAGACCAGCTTAATTGGCTGCAGTTTTTTAAAAGGTGGTGGGAGCAAGCTGTGGTTCATATAACTAAAAATTCCAGAATGTTCCACATGGCTGGACTCAAATGAGCAGACTGTGTCTCTAAGAACCTCTCTCCATGTCTCAATTCTGCTCTGCTGCGCTGGCTTCATTTCCCGGCAGATTCTACCCAAGTAGCAGCAGAAACAGCAGCTCCAGCCTTCCATTCTACTGACCCTGCACACCCAAGAAAGAGAACGAGCCTTTCCCTGTGCGCCAGCTGAGGCCCCAGGACTGACTCACGGGAGACTGATTTTGTTATCGGAAAGAGAACCCTACTCAGACCCCAAGAGAGGGTTCTCAGATCTTGCGCAAGAAAGAATTCAGGGCGAGTCCACAGAGTAAAGTGAAAGCAAGTTTATTAAGAAAGCAGAGGAATGAAAGAATGACTGCTGCATAGACAGAGCAGCGCTGAGGGCTGCTGGTTGCCCATTTTTATGGTTATTTCTTGAGTATATGCTAAACAAGGGGTGGATTATTCACACCTCCCCCTTTTAGACCATATAGGGTAACTTTCTGCATTGCCATGGCATCTGTAAACTGTCATGACACTGATGGGAGTGTAGCAGTGAGGACGACCACAGGTCACTCTCGTGGTCATCTTGGTTTTGGTGGGTTTGGACCAGCTTCTTTACTGCAACCTGTTTTATCAGCAAGGTCTTTACGACCTGTATCTTGTGCCGACCTCCTGTCTCATCCTGTGACTAAGAATGCCTAACCATCTGGGAATGCAGCCCAGTAGGTCTCAGTCTCATTTTACTCAGCTCTTAGTCAAGATGGAGCTGCTCTATTTCACACACCTCTGACAATTTGACCACTTGGTAGAAATCACTGTAATCAGGAGGACGGAAGTCACTAATGGGCCAGGACGGCTCAGGGGACCATCTCTGCACAGGTGTGTGTGTGAGGGCAGATGTCAGCCTCACGGGCGTGGGGCTTGAACTGGCTGAAACATGGCAAGTTTCCATCCAAGAGTCTATGACTCTGCGCCTTTGAGGTGTTTGTTCCTATGCAAGAACCCAAAAAAGCGTTGAATACACAGCAGAAATTGGGCAAATCATGGTTTGTCTGACTTCAGAAATGCATCACCAGATTTTCTGCAGTCCTTTCCTAATTACATTCTTATCAGACTTGATATTCAAATTAGCTAGGGTCCCCTGGGGTCACCTCCACCACCAGGAAAGAGCAATTACCCTGGCATATGCTGAGTGATGAGGGACCAGCTGTGGGCATGGATAGTCCCTCTGTGCATCATTAAATACTGCCCTCCCTTTAAAAAATAATTTTATAAAGATAAGGCCAGAACTTTCTTGCTTTGGGCTAAATGCCCTTTTAAAATTCCTGGCACACAGAAGAAGCACAAAGTCCTCTTCAGAAAAGTCATGAGGGTTCAGACAGGGTAGAGCTGTACAAAGGATTCGGGCTATGCAAACAGACGACGTTTCAGAGTGGGGCTAAGGAGGGGGTCGTGATTCCGGCACTTCTGCTTGACTGGAGTATGTAAATGATTCCAGCTCTGATTCCGGAGGCAGAGTTGAGAGAGACTCAGAAGTCAGGTTTATTTTAGAGGCTAACGAGCCTCCTGTTCCCAGAATTGTCCTCAAGTTCATCCTACTTAACCCTAGGCAGCTTTCTCTCAGAAGGGGGTGAAGGTCTCCAGCTCCACATTGGCCGATTACCTCTGGGGCGTGAATCCTGGGCTTTGGGAAGGGCTGGACACAGAGCCCAAAGGCACAGTCTACCAGGCAAAGTGCTGTCTTTGGACCACTTTCTATTAACATGCCATTCTGGAAAAAAATATATATATATATATGTTCCTTGTAGTCAACCCATGTATCTGCTGAAGCCCCTAAAAATTCTTAATACCATCCTTCCATGAAAATCCTCTCCAGGTTTAAGACCTCATTGTCTTTCATGGAGACTTTTGAAATGGCCTTTGGGCCAGGCATGGTGGCTCACGCCTCTAATCCCAGCACTTTGGGAGACCGAGGCAGGTGGATCACAAGGTCAAGAGATTGAGACCATTCTGGCCAACATGGTGAAACTCTGTCTCTACTAAAAATACAAAAATTTGCTGGGTGTGGTGGCGGGTGCCTGTAGTCCCAGCTACTTGGGAGGCTGAGGCAGGAGAATCACTTGAACCCAGGAGGCGGAGGTTGCAGTGAGCAGAGATTGTGCAGCTGCACTCCTGCCTGGGTGACAGAGCAAGACTCTGTCTCAAAAAAAAAGAAAAAAGAAATGGCCTTTGAACACTCCCTTCTGCCACCCTGCCTGGATGGCTTTTGTCACCCACACTGTCCTTTGAGCGACTTTCTAAAAGTCCACTGTGGCCGTTCTCCATTCTTCATTCGTTCCAATGTTCAGCCTCATCTTTTACAATTTTAAAGTGAGACGAAATTCATACAACATAAATTAACCATGTAAAAATAAACACTTCAGGGGCATTAGGTACATTCACAATGTTTGCAGCCACCCCCTCTATCTCGGGCCAAAACATTTTCATCATCCCAAAAGCAACTCCTGTATCCATCAAGCAGTCCCTCCCCTTCCCTCCCCTTCCCTCCCCTCCCCTAACCCCAGGCGATCACATGCTTTCTGTCTTCGTGCGTTTGCCTATTCTGGACATTTCATGCAAATAGAATTATACACTATATGGTCTTTTGTGTCTGGCTTCTTTCACTTAGCTAATGTTCTCAAGGCCCATCTATGTTGTGTCCTGTCTTCAGTACTTCATTCCTTTTTTAGGGCTGTTATTCCCTTGTGTGTGTATACCACAATTTATTTCTCCATTCATCAGGTGATAGCTCTTCTTCTTTATACAGGACAATCTGAGCTCCTTGGCTATCTTCTTTCTTTCTTTATTTGTTTTACTTATTTATTTATTTTTGAGACAGAATCTTGCTCTGTTGTCCAGGCTGGAGTGCAACGGTGCAATCTCGGCTCACTGCAGCCTCAGCCTCACAGGTCCAAGCGATTGTTGTGCCCCAGCCTCCCTAGTAGCTGGGATTATAGGCGTGTTCCACCACACTCAGCTAATTTTGCTGTATTTTTAGAAGAGACGGGGTTTCACCATTTTGGCCAGGCTGGTCTCGAACTCCTGAACTCAAGTGATACTCCCATCTTGGCCTCCCAAAGTGCTGGGATTACAGGCGTGACTCACCACACCTGGCCAGCTATCTTCTGATACACTCCCTCAAGCCCCACTCAAAACTTCCACATTTTCAAACAGCCTGGGGTTGCTGTTTGGCTCCTCTCTGCCTCATTCATGCCGTCCCCTTACCCACAATCATCTAGTCACCTCCACTGATCCCTTAAAGACACCAAGATGACCCTAACCCTCCTGGTCTGAGCCAGGGGCACCTGCTCTGTGTTCCCAGGGCCCTCCAGGCATACCTCTTCCCAGCCCAAACTGAAATCCTTGCTCCGTATCTGAGATCCAGCCTCACCCCTCTGCACCCGAGGCTGCAAGCCTTCCACGGTGGGGCTCAAGCCTGCTTCCCTACTGAACCCGCATTGCCTGGTGCATGAGGGATGCTGAGCTGAGCTGAAAATCCCACCGTGGAGAGGAGTTCCCCTCGAAACAAGACTCATTCATCTAAGGGGAACAAGGTTCGAGCTTTCTGTCCTGGCTCCTTTCCTTCTGAAAGACAGCATCACACAACTTGGACAGGGAGGGCTCAGGGGAATCTCAGGACTTAAAAAATGAAATGTTTCGAAGATTTCATGATAGTCGTATGAACTTGGGCTCTAACTTCCTTCAGAACAAAGCACTCACTTGGCCATTGAAGGGGCCTTTCTGGACGGTTTCTGCTGTCGTCTCTGCAAAGCACTTAGGACGCAGCTTCCATCAGCTGGGTCAGGGAGAATCCTTTGTAAGAGGCATGGAGTCGGCATCCCATGGCAAGGGCTGGTGAGAGCACGTCATTGGATAGCACCAGCAAATTGTTGTATAATACAGAATTGGACCAGCCTTTGTTCCTGGGAAGTCGCCTCCAAATCCTTGGCAAGTCTTCGTTATTCACAGCGAGCCCTCAAAGTCTTTGCTAACGAGGGGACTCAGGGTCAGGACAGCCCATGCCAGAAAGACTGACCATGTGAACAGCAGGCTGAGGCCCTGCTCCGTCACCTCCTGGAGGGGAAAGGGACCGGAGATCAAGTCCTATCAGTCACGCCTACATCATGAAACCCCAGTAAAACCTCTGAGCATTGGAAGCTTGCATGACTGTCCCCGGTTTGTAATCACACATCAGTCACCTGGGAGGCTTTGCACGGTCTGGGGACATGGAAGTTCTGAATCTGGGACTTTCCCAGACCTCCCCCTCCGTGCCTCTCCCAGTAGCTGGTTCTGATTGTATCCTTGGTAATGACACCGCAATCCTAAGTACAGCACTTTCCTGAGTTGTGTCGTTCATCACTGTGAATTACTGAATGCCAGGAGGTCAGGGAAACCCCTGAATTTGCAGCCAGTTGGTCAGAGGTGCATGTATCCAGGGGGGGCCAGAACTTGCAGCAGATATCTAAAGTGAGGGTCTTCCTGTGGGGGACGGAGCCCCCAACCCGTCATCTGCACCAACTCCAGGTGGTTAGTGTCAGAGCTGCATTGCAGATACTATGGTGGATAACCGTTTGATCATGCCATTTATGCCATAAAGGAGCACAGAAGTTGGGTAGAGACACCTTGCTTTGTGGTATAGACACCTTGCTTTGTGCCTGTCAGCCAATGAAGTCACATATGTGAGCCTCTACACATACGTAGAGATCTGTCCTACAGTCCTGGTCAAGTTGCTGAGAGGAAGATGAGATAATGATGGACCTTGGAACCAGCCAACTTCTGCCAAGTGGTTAGGCGGGTTCATTTGCGTTCTGAGGGTCTGAATGCAGAACCTGTGGGAATACCAACATCACCACCACACCCACAGCCACACCCTTCTACACCCCTGAGCGGTTTAGCAATCAAGGGGGAACTTAGTGAACAGGTGCTGCTGTGCCTGGCCCTCTGCCGAGTGCTGCAGGGGGTAGGAATATGGAGAATGGGTGGCCGCCCTCCTTCTGGAAACACGGCCATGCTTGCTAATCTGTGTGGTCTGTGATGGTCGCTAGGGAAGCAGAAGACCACCTTCCGACTGAAGTCATCAGTGGAGGATCAGAGGCCAGGTGGGGTGCAGACGAATGAGATCAGGCAGAAGGAAGGTAATGGAAGGCCCCAGGAGGAAAGGGTCCGCTTGAGCAAACCCTCGGCATCCACTGGGGTCAATGCAGACGCCCACTCACATGAAGTCTAGGGGCACCAGGAAACTGCTCTTGGAACAACTCTGAGGTCAGGGGTTACTCCTGTTTAACAGTTGGGAAAACTGAGGTCTAGGGGTGAATACTCAGCCTAAGAGCACTACTCTCTTCCGGACGGCATTAACCCCCGAGCCTCCCGATGGACCTGGCCATTCAAGAAGGTGCACTCTTCCTCTTTGACCCATGATATGGGACCATCCCATCAGTCACCACGCCTGAACATCAGAACAATTTCTAGAGCAGAGCACACGAACCTTCCTTCCCTCAGCAGCACCTCCTGGACCTCAAGATCCCTGACTGCTGAGATGTGCATCCTTTCAGGGGGCTGACATCTCCTCCACTGCGATTTGAACCACCAGAGGAACAGTCAAGCTCTGAAATTGAGACCCGGGGAAAAGGAAATCTCAAATTGAAAATGCGACCACAGAAGGTGTCCACATTCTCTAAAGCCCAGAAACCCAGCAGGACCCAAGAGGCTTCCTGGATTTCAGAGTGAGGTTTGCAAGCCCGCCTTATCTGTGGGCAAATTGAACATCATGCTAATTCCTCGTTAGCCCTTTCCAGCTGTAAGCATGGGGCTGGTGCAAGAGGGATCTCTCATTTCTCCCGATTGGGATCACAGGAAAAGGATGGAAAGTAACTTAACAAGGTTTTTGGACGTCAAATTGCTATTACAAAACAACATTTTTAGGAGTTAAGCAATTAATCCAAACACACATGGATTCAATTTCCTTGAAACCAAAATGGCTTAAAAAACCAAGGGAGACAAATGCTCAGGGAAAAATCCCTTTTGAGTTTGTGAACCCCAAGGCTGTGGAAAGAAAACAACAGAACCCTTAAGTGCTGCCCCCCTTAACACACTGGAAGCTCCCTTCTCAGTGGAGGGAGGATGGGGCAGGCGCCCAGGCCCCACAGTCACGTGGACTGGGGGCCCAGAGGACATGGACAAAGGAAGGAAACAATGCTTCTTCTCTGCTCAGTGCTCTTTCCCTCCTGGTTTTCTATGAGGCAAGGGAAGAGGTTTCAAGGCAAATGTTCGCTTTCCCCCTGCAATGTTTTATAACTTGGCCTTAGATACTCACTTGGGACAAAAAGCTTTAATAGAATCCTGTTGGGGCCTTTTCATGACCTCCCCAAACTAAGGAAATTAAACACAAGACAATGTTTATATCCAACTTCTAGGGTCAAATGGGAAAACAATCAGCTCAGAGTGCAGAAACACTGAGGGCTGTATCCTCTCCCTGGTGCCACGCACTCTGGGGTGCAGATCGGGGTACCTGCCAGGCTCAGCCACCCTCTGGTGTCCATCCTTGGGCGAACCACATCCCCGAAACTCAGGTCCCATCTGGAAGCTTGGGGAAGAGCTGTTGAAATAATATTGAGTTCAGAAAGCTAAAGGCATGTTGTTAAATCAAGTTTAGCCTAAAGCTGCCTCCTGACATATTTTAAATTCGGCCTAAAGGTTTTTCTGTACGTGGTGAACTATTGATATGACAAGCAGAGACATCAACAGACTGTGGCCTGCACTGGTGCCAGTCACTGAATTTTGGCCAATTCAAAGGGGACTGACCATTTGAACCATGTTCAAATAAGGCAAACACCAACCTGTAACTAACCCAGCTGTTTCTGTACCTCACGTTTGCTTTCTGTAGTCGATTTCCTCTTTCCGTCCATAAATCTTCCACCACATGGCTGCCCTGGAGTCTCTGAGGCCACTCTGGCTCGGGAGGCTGCCTGATTCACGAATCGTTCATTGCTCAATTCAACTGCTTTAAATTTAATTCGGCTGAAGTTTATCTTTTATCAGAGTGAAAAGCTTATATATTTTTTAAACCTGTTAAGCACTGTGCAAATGTTTGTCCTTGTCACTTGCTGAGGGGGTGTGGTCCGAGCGCTGACAGCACCCCAGTGGTGACAGCCTTACTGTTTACTTTTACGCTTCACAACACGGCCCCTCTTCCTTCCTCACCCCCCTCCAACTTCTTTCCCTCCTATGGAGGCTCCAGCTTCACAGCGGAGAGGAACAGGACCCAGGGTCTGACTGCAAGGCTGCTGCCACATTTCTCACAGAATTAAATCCACCAGGAACTCTCTCCTTCGCAATATCTGACCTGCCCACAGTCCTTAATCCTCCTGCAGTCCCTAACAGATCAGGGGAAGGTCAAGGATGTTGTCTGAACCCTGGGAGAGAACCAGTTCAAAGACAGTAGAGGGGCCCTGGTGAGTTCCACCCCAGCATCCACCTCCCCGTGGGGCCAGAGTCTGATCTCCCTCCCTCCCGTCCCACCCGTGGGGCCAGCGTCCGATCTCCCTCCCTCCCATTCCACCCGTGGGGCCAGCGTCCGATCTCCCTCCCTCCTATCCCACCCGTGGGGCCAGTGTCCAATCTCCCTCCCATTCCACCCGTGGGGCCAGCGTCCGATCTCCCTCCCTCCTATCCCACCCGTGGGGCCAGCGTCCGATCTCCCTCCCTCCTATCCCACCCGTGGGGCCAGTGTCCAATCTCCCTCCCTCCCATTCCACCCGTGGGGCCAGCGTCCGATCTCCCTCCCTCCTATCCCACCCGTGGGGCCAGCGTCCGATCTCCCTCCCTCCCATTCCACCCGTGGGGCCAGTGTCCGATCTGCCTCCCTCCCGTCCCACCCGTGGGGCCAGTGTCTGATCTGCCTCCCTCCCGTCCCACCCGTGGGGCCAGTGTCCAATCTCCCTCCCTCCCATTCCAGCTGCCATGGGGGATTCCCTCACTGTGGGACAATTCTCACCAGCATGCCAGCACATGCCACTTCTCCTGTCCCCCAAAACCAAACTAAACCCTTTTGCCCTGTTTTTCCCTTGAGCAATCGCCCCACATCTCCCCTTTCCTTTACAGCAAAACTTCTCAAAAGAGCTGTGAACCCTTGCCATCTCCACTCCTCTCCTCCCATTCTCTCCCCGCATCCATCGTGGGCACGGACCCTGACACCCCATGGAAGCGCCTGTTGTGCAGGTCACCAGCAATGCCACTCCTGGGGATCACCCCCAAAGAACCGAAAACAGAGACTCGAAAGGAGACACATCCACACATGTTCATAGCACCATTACTCACAGCAGCACAAAGGTCGAAACAGCCCGACGGCTGTCAGCAGGTGGATGGGTGAACGCAGTGTGGTCTATCCATACAGTGCAATATTATTCGCCTTAAAAAGAAACAAAATCACCAAGAGTAGCTTGTAAGTGTTCTCACCACAAAAAAAGATAGTCTACGAGGTACTGCATGTGTTAATTCATTCGATATAGCCATTTCACTATGGCTATTTGAATAGCCATAAATATATTTATATATAAATATAAATATATATACATAATTTTTGTCAATTGTTTAACAATTAAATTCAAATGTAGAACAAAAAGAAGTGAAGTACCAACACGTGCTACAACGTGCATGAACCTGGGAGACACGACGTCGGGTGAAAGGAGCCAGGCACAAAACACCACGTCATGTGATTCCACGGATATGAAACACTCAGATTAGGCAAACCCCTAGAGGCAGAAGGCAGATGAGGGGTTGCCGGGGCTGAAGGAGGGGAGACGGGGAGTGACTGCTGATGGGTGTGCAGCCCCCTTTGGAGGAAGGAAAATGTTCTGGAACGTAACAGTGCTGATGATCGCACGGCATTATGAAGGTGCTTACGGCCATGGAAATGCGCATTTAAAAATGGTGACTATGGTAAGTTTCATGTTATGTGTATTTGATAGTTAAAAGAAAAGATCACCAGTGGCCTCCACGTGGTATGTCCGTGGTCGGTTCTCGGTGGTCATATGACTTGATCCTTTCGCAGTGTGGGCACAGCTGCCCATCCTCCCTTTCCCTTGAGAATTCTCTTCCCAGCCCACAGGACCCCAGTGTGCCTGGGTCTCCTCCTGCCCCACTGGCTGCTCCTTCCCAGTCTCCTTTGCTGGACCCCTCGTCTCCTCACACTCTGACCCCATGAGCCACCTGAGGCTTGGACGACTTCTTTTCTGTATCCCACCTTCAGTCTCCCTGGTACTTCATTGAGTCTTGTGGCTTTGAATACCACATAGATGCCAACAACTCCTAAAGTGGGTATCTCCAGCATGTTCTTTCCTCTGAATTCCAGACTTACACATCCCACTGTGTCCTCAGCCCCTTCACTCAGACAGATGTTGAATGAGCCTGATATACCCAAACTCTTAGCTTCCCACTACTCCACATCCCAAATCTTCCCATCTCAGTTGACAGCAGCTCCCGCCCTCCAACTGTTTGGACTTGCCCTTGACTCCTCCAAGACTCTTGTACCCCTCTTCCTCCTGCCAGCACATGCTGCCAGCTCCACCTTGGAAAGTGCCCAGTGTCCAGTCGCTCCTGCCCCTGCTACCTCCAACACTCTGGGGCAGCCACCATCACCTTTCACCTCCCCTGCGTCTCCTGCACCTCCCTAGTCCCCATCCCCCCATAGACTGTTCTCTACCATCACAGCTATCATTTTAACATGCAAATCAGATGTCACTCTCCAGCCTTAACCACTTGGAGAGTAAGCCACAGTCCTCACCATGACCCAAGGCCTCATCCAGGCTCGCTGTTCACGAAGCCTGCAGCCCCCTCGGCTGCTCTGGCCTCAGCTCACCTCTCTGCAGCTGGTGCTCCAGCTCCTGCTATCTTCCCGCGGACCAGGCGGGCTCCCACCTCTTAGCCTGTGCACTTGCTATTCCTGCTGCCTGGAACACTCTTCTTCAAGATGCTGCCTGGAACCTCTTCTTGAAGATGTTCTTGAATTCAAAGATATTTGAATTACCAGCTGGAGTTGAAGAGAGAACATGTTGGAGATATGCAGTTTGGGAGTTGTCGGCATCTATGTGGTATTCAAAGCCACAAGACTCAATGAGGTCCCTTCAGGTCTGTGCTGGCAGCTCCTTGGTGAGGCTCTGCTAGAAGCCCATTGGACAGTGCACTCCTCCCAGCCCTGCCCCTCCGCTCTTTCTGCTTTGTTTCCTGCATGGAAACTGACACCTTCTAAGAGGTATGCCGTCTCTGTGTTTTGTCATTCTTGTTGCTCATCCCTTCCCTCTAGAATGTCAGCTCTCTGAGAGCAGGAATTAATTTTTTAAAATTCTTGTTGACTGTTATGCCTCATGCCTACAGCCAGAGGCACTCGCTAAACAAAGGTTGGATGAATACGGATGAATAATGGGTGAATACATGAATACATGAATGAATGAATGAATGAATGAATGAATGAATGAATGAATGAACGAACGAACAAACGAATGAATGAAAACATGGCAAAGATGTTCAACTCTGCTTGTTATGAGAAAGGCTTAAGTGGGGAGCCTTTGTCCTGAAGGGTCCTGCAGCCTGCCCCAAGGGCTTCCCCACGGGGTGGGGATATTAGAATGCAGAGTCTACTCCAGGTCTTTGGGGACCCATAGCTCCTTGGGTGCAAGTTCACATCTTAGCCAGCCACCTCCTGACCTGATTCGGGGTCTATGCCAGCTCACACCTTCTTTGTGTGACCCGGAGCAGCTGACCAGCCTCCTGGGCAGGCACTGTCCACCTCTGCTGGTATCACCACAGGCCCCCTCCCCATTTTTGTTCTCACTCCATAGACATTGCCTGGGTCTCTTGCTGGGAGCATTGTTCCCAGAAAGTTAGAAGCCACATGGCAGGAGGACTGGAAATACATAGGAATTTATGTCTCCCTTGCCCGTGACTGACAGGCTGAGTTCTACATTCTTGGCTCCTGGGTCCCTGATTGGGACATCTGTTGGGTGTGATCATCATCATCTCCAAAATTTGCCTGTGCTTGGCCTGATCTTCCCCTGCATAGCCTCCTCCTCCTGGTCTCTCTGAGTCCCTGTTCCATTGTGCAGCTTTCCAGGGAACATCTAACAAATCCCTTTCATGCAGATCCTCCTCCCAGGGCCTGCTCCTGGGGACCCCAGCCTAAGACATACTTTCTAGTGTTGTGAGTATTAAAGTTGGATTTGGCAGAACATACATGCTAGGTACTATGCTGTGTGCACCACACACTGAGCCCTCACAATGCTCCAAGGGGCATCGTTACACCATTTAAAAGATAAGAAAACTGAGGCCCAAGGTCACATGATAAAGAGCAGCACCAGCATTTGAATATACATGTTTTCCTGACATGAAAGTCAGTGTCTTTCACCCCTCAGCATGCTCCCTATAAAAAAGCTATGAAATGCCATTATGCTTACTGGTATATAATGTAGCAGCTAGGCAGGGCAGGTGGCTCACGCTTGTAATCCCAGCACTTTGGGAGGCTGAGGCAGGCGGACCACTTGAGGTCAGGAGTTCGAGATCAGCCTGGCCAACGTGGTGAAATCCTGTCTCTACTAAAAATACAAAAATTAGAGGGGCATGGTGGCGCCTGCCTGTAGTCCCAGCTACTCAAGGAGGCTGAGGCACGAGAATCACTTGAACCTCAGAGTAGGATGTTGCAGCGAGCTGAGATCATGCCGCTGTACTCCAGCCTGAGTGACAGAGACTCGTGTACAAATAATAACAATAGTAATAATAATGTAGCAACTATAGAAGGCCATAATACTCCTTAGTATACATTGTAGCAGGTATGAAATGCCACATACTTACTGGTATACATTGTAGCAGATATGAAACAACACATACTTACTGGGATACATCGTAGCAGGTATGAAACGCCATAATACTAGAACATAATATAAAATGTATGGAATGCTACCATACTTACTAGTCTATACTGTTTTACATCAATGAAAATGTGTGTTTATGACTTTTCAGCCAAAATGGTTTTTAAATCTTCAACTTATTTCCCCTTTTTAGATTGAAAGAGACTTAAAATTGTGCCCCATCCCATCCCTGAAGAATTTACTACAGGGGAAGGGAAAGTCATCCTGCCATATTTTTAACTGATCGCTTGCTTGTCCCTGTTTGGTGAGATTTATTCTCCCATTAATCACTGCCCTCCCTTCATTCATGTTAAATATAAAATTGATTAGGAAAGATCCCCATCATGGTTTAAAAAAATAATTAGCTGCTACATCATGTTGCCCACAGTGCGACAGAAAGGAGTGATTAAATTAGGAATATTAAAACCCCATTAATCTGCGCTCAACTTAAGCTCTGCTTGTTCATCTCACGGTGGTGCTTATTATTTCTGACACTGAAAGATATTTGAATTACCAGCTGCAACAAGGTCACTTGCTGAAAGATGTCAGGTCAGCCATTAGTCAAAGGCGGGAGAGGCGACCAGAAATGGGGACTGCCCATGTGTCAAGGAGGCCTCCACTTGAAGATGCCACTGCAAAAGTGGGCAATGTCCCACATTCTGGCAGGCTTGGCTGCAGGCACCCTTAGGGCTTTGACACACACCTCCTCTCTGTCACTTCCCACGGGTCACCTGTGAGGGTAGGGACCTCTATGGTGTCCTAGGCAGGCATCTTTTGCCCCAGCCCCAGTGGAGCCTCCACAGCTTGTCTGTGGGTTCTTAAATTCATGCACTCTTATGACAGTGATTACCTAAGAATGGCAAATGTCACCTGTTGAGATGCTTGCACGTCCCCAGCGCCATACTGAGCTCCTTTGCATCTTTTGTCTCCTTCATTCCTTCAACAGCCCTGAAAAATGGCCAGCTCTGGCCTCATTTGATAGGTGAGGGAGCTAAGGCCTAGATCCAGAAATGGCCACGGTCACACAGCTGGCAACCAGCACAAGTGGCATTCAGCCCCATCTATTGGGCTCCAAAGGGACACCCTTGGCCACTCAGAGTCCACAGGTCTTCTTCAAGAGGACATGGCCATGCAAAGGCAGAAGGATGCAGTTTCAGGAATCAGTCCTGTGTTGCATGATTTAAAAATGAATCCCAGGCCAGGCACGGTGGCTCACGCCTGTAATATCAGCACTTTGGGAGGCCAAGGTGGGCGGATCATGAGATCAAGAGATTGAGACCATCCTGCTCAACATGGTGAAACCCGGTCTCTACTAAAAATACAAAAATTAGCTGGGCATGGTGGTGCGCACCTATAGTCCCAGCTACTCAGGAGGCTGAGGCAGGAGAATCTCTTGAACCCAGGAGGCAGAGGTTGCAGTGAGCCGAGATTGCACCACTGCACTCCAGCCTGGACAACAGTGAGACTCCATCTCAAAAAACAAAACAAAACAAATGAATTCCAACAGCAATGACAAATCAACTACTACTGCAGAGTGTCGAGCTGGGCACCAGGCGAGAATCTCCCTAGAGCCTGCCTCACCTCCCCCCTGCAGTCTGGTACCTGGGGAACTGGAGACAAGTCAATAACAGGGATGAAGGGCCTCTCACCCCTCATTTCTCCTTAGAGTAAGAATTTGGCTAATGTCTGCTTTCAGCCATGTCTTCATCTACTTCTTCTTCCTCTTTAACATCACTTCTGCTCTGTTACATGAACCTGAATCATACCCAAATACGGTCATGACTCTAGCCCTGGAGGGACAGGCAGGGATGGTCACTTTCCTTATGGCAGGCCCACTTGCACTGCCCATGCTGGTGTCCCCTCTGCTGGGTCTGGGGTGGCTGCCTGAGGTCTGCATTCAGGATGTGCCTGGGGACTGGGGTAGACCAAGGAGGCATCTCCCTGGAACATCTGGAAGTGGCAACATCAAAAGGGGGTGAAGGTGAACTGACCTGTGGGGAGAATGCCAGGGTCTATGGCTCGGGATCTACTGTCAGGTCTGAGCAGGGAGTGAGCGTGCATCGTGGCGGTAGTCCATAGGTCTCTCCCAAATAAAAGAAGCCAGGGATCGGCAGCTGCGACGTGAGGTCAAGGCTAGCTCAGGAAGGAGAGCAGGAGATGCACAAGGCCAGGGGTTCAGAGCAGGGAGGCTGTGGGGGGTGGAGGCTTTTGCGCCAAGTCATGGCCACCCGGCCCCAAGTGGCAGGTCCCTCAGTCTCTGTCTGAGCCCAGACATAACCTCTGATGCAGACTGTGCTGTGCACTGTCCCTGTGCTCAAGCTGAATCGAACCTCCTTTTCCTCATCTTCATGAGTGCTCCATCCACACCTCCCTCAGGGCTCTTCCTCCCCGGGGCCGGTTGTCCCTTTCCTCCCTCTCCCTTCATAAGGACAAGCTGTGTTGAGCAGGGACAGAGACCAGCTTTCCTGGGACTTTTGCCATCTGGTCCTCTGAGCGAGCGCCCCGCCTTGACCTCCGTGGTCTCTCCCCACCCCTGACCACCCACTCATAGGGTCCCATGGGCCCCACTCCTGGTACCAACTCCCTTGGCTCCCCAGGTGCCTGGCATGCATAGGAGCTTGGTTGAGGTTATGGAATAGAGTCTAATTGGGACTGGAGACCCCCTGGTGTACCCCCCTCATGCCACTGATGAGAAATGAAACCCAGCCCATCGTTGACTTTGCCCACCTCGAACGGTTGGCTGGTCACTGGCTGCTTAGAAGAAATTCACACTGGTTATTTAAGAGCAGAAGCATTCAGACCCCAGAGAAAGAGTTTTCTCCGTAAAGGATGCTGGGACAGCCCAGCGTTGGTTCCTGTTACACAGTGTTCTCTGTCTCCATCTCATGCTTACCAGATGTGTCAGCGAGGGACAGGCCCGGGAGGAGATGTGTTTGGACTTGGGCACCCCTGCTTGCCCCAAATAACCACAGTCACGTGCTGGCCACAATGCCAGACAGTCCAAAAGTTGTGAGCCAAGCGGGCTGGCAGCCCCGGCCTCCACTGTTCCTTCTTAAATGGCAGAGAAAGAGCTTCCCCTGACCCCTGCAAGTTTTCTGCCTGTGGCAGATGTGGGGTTGTCAGTTCCCTGGTGGCGGCCCGGGTCCAGAAGCACTCAGCTGGATTACTGGAAAAACGAAGATACAAGCCTATAAAAACAGCCTGGCTCCCAGTGAATTCCTGAAGCTGGCTATTTATAGAGGTGGTTTGGAGCAGCCTAGGGCCTCCCCGCAGGCCTCCTCAACCTCCAGGGCAGCCACACAGAGGGAGCACATGACAGATGGGACAAAATGCTTACCTGGCCCACTGTTTCACAGGGCACACAGTACTTCTGTGTCTGCACGTGCCCTCCAGGATGCTGTACCAGGCAGATTCAGACCTCAGGCTCCTGGAGAGCTGCCACTGCTCAGGCTGCGGCCAGGCTCTGCAACATTCCAGAAGGGTGAATTGAGGTCCCACCATCTTCAGCACAAATACTGGGGTTAGGGGAGGCATGGAGAATGGTCTGACAACAGACAGTTTGATTTCACACCATTAACTGCATAAAACGTTCTGGAGAAAATGTATTTCATCATGAATTCTGGACAAGGTATATTACAATAATAACAGAGAGATCCTTTCCATCTTTCAGGCGCTTTATGAGTGGCGGGACAGCTTCTGGGTAGGGCCCTGGGAAGGGAGAGTGCTGTGGGCTCAGCACCTCCTCCATCCCTCCGCCCCCATCCTGCCCCTGGGAGCACAAGGCTCGCCCTGTGTTCTGGCCCCGGGACTGCACAGAGCTTGTCACATTGCAAGAATCATGAGCCAGCCAGAAGGAAAGGGCAGAGAGGCACCAGCGAGCCTCAAAAAACTAACCCCACCCTCCCCGCCTGTGGCCTGAAGTCACTGCGTTAGCCAGAACCTGGAGAAATAAAATCAATTTGATGTGTAGCTTGCTCTGGCTAATGATCTTTGAAGAGGATTGAGAGTTTAACGCTTCCATTTTCTCAGCAGGAAGGTGATCTGGGCAGGCAGGGGCAGCCCCAGAAGGTGAGGGTTGGGATTTGAGCGGGGCAGAAAGGGTTAGCGCTGTCATTTTGAGTGGTGACATGAGACGGGGTTGAGGGAAGGGCTGGTGTTGATGGAGCCTTTACTTGGACAGTCCTGTGGGCAGCGAGCAGGGAAGGAGGGGAGAGGCTGTGAACCCACCTCCCACTGAGCAAGCCTAGCACAGGCGCCAATGCCAGCAAGGGCTTCGGGGCACAGAAAGTTGGTGCCCGAACAGGAAGGGGTGTGAGAGAGAGTTAGGAAAGCCTGACTCTGGAAAAAACAACGGGAGGTGCCTGGGGAGGAAGGACAGTGGCTGGGAGCTGGAGAGAAAATCCAGTCTTGACTGGAGGGGACCAGGGGAGGCTTCAAGTTGCGCCCAGCTCAGTGAGCCACCTCAGACCAGCCAGCGGGGCCAGGACAGGAGCCCGCACCTGGAGTGAGAGGCCCTGGACTCCAGTCCCTGCTCTGCCATTTACCAGCTGTGTGGCCTCAGTCCCTTCCTGATGATTTCAGGCCTCAGTCCCTGCATCTGTAGAATGGGGTGATGATGCTTCCTCCACGGGGTCCATGTGAGGAGCGAGTAAGCCTGGCACATAGTAGGTGCTCAGTAAATGCTTGTGAGCCTGGACCACCACTTTCTTGTACTCTTTATACACTGGGAGGATTCATGAGACAACAGTTGAGACAGGAGTCCTGCTGCCGAGGGAGGTCAGACGCCTGGCTGGCCAAACTCAGGTGTCCCCAAGGCCCTAATACCTCTCAGTTCACCTGCTTCAGGTGAGGTTGACTTCTCTGCCTTTTGGGGTTCCCCCAGAACAGAGCCTGAGACAAGGCCTTGGGTGCAGGTAGTGTAGGTGGGAGGTGACTCCAGGAAGCTGGAGTGAGGGGCAGGGCAGTGAGATCTGGGTGGGGAGAAAGCCAATGTGAGGATGCCACTGGGCTGGTGATCAGTGTGGCCAATGCGAGGATGCCACTGGGCTGGTGATCAGTGTGGCCAATGCGAGGATGCCACTGGGCTGGTGATCAGTGTGCTCAATGCGAGGATGCCATGGGGCTGGTGATCAGTGTGGGCAACAGGGGCTCAGATCCACCAGGAACCCTCTGAAAAATCTGTGGGATCTGCCTCCGAGTTGTCCCTCCATGGGTGCAGACTATCCTCCCCCATTGGCAGAGGTTGTCCCGGGGGTGGAATCTCCCCAGCTTACCCTGCCCTTAGCTATGGAAAAAGCCCCAAGTCAGAAGACAGGAGGAAAGATGGGACCTACCCACACAGCCACACCTGAACTCACAGGGGTAAGGGGCTGTGGGCCCAGAAAGTATCTGCTATACCTTCCCCCCAACTGCCTGCCTGAATATGAGCCCTCCGTTGGGCATGTTCTGTGATTGGCACCAGTCTCTCCATCAGCCTGTTGGAAAAGCACAGCTGGCTTTCAGGTGGTCTTAAGGTTGGTGAGACAAAAGTGTGAAGCTTCCACCATGTGAACACACAGGAGATCAGTGAGAGACAGAGAGACACTGGATCCTGACCATATTGTTGGAGCACCTGGATCCAGCCATACCTGAAGTTGTTCTAGCCCATGAATTTTCCTCTTCCTTATTTGAATTTGGGATTGTAGTCACTTAGAAAAGGACTCTTGATTACTACAAGTCCCTGCCATGTGCTGGCGGTTTCAAATGCACCATTTCACAGAGTCCCTCTGCAAGAGCTGGACAGAGCCAGGGCCAAAAGTCAGGCTTGGTCCAATTCAAAAGCTCATTATTATTTTTTTCTCCCACCAGATCTGAGCTCCACAGAAAAGGCAGTTCATAAGAGAGCAAGGCAGCACCAGCCTGTGCCTAAGAGGGACATTCCTGAAATCCTAGCTGCTTCCTAAGCTGACTTCCTAAGTCACTTCCTAAGTAAGTGACCATAGGTGATTACTGCTTATTCAGTATCTCTGTTATTTTAATGAAAGACAATGCTGATTTGAAAAGGCACAATCAGGCACAATCTGTCCTGAGGGTTAACCTTCCTTGCTGGTGGAGACCCAGGGCCACTGCGTCTCTGACACCACTGCAGGGGGACAACACCCCAGATTCCAGCAGAGTTTGCTCTGGGGACCAGGCTGGTGGCGTCAGCCTCAAACGGGTACAGGCCACACCATGTTGTCAGAGATCCTTTGTGCTCCTTGTTTGGTGGGTAGTTGGTGGGGGACACCCTGCTGGGGGAAAAAATAAAAAAGAAGAACTTTTGCCCAGCAGGTGCAGTCCCTTAAGAAGCATAGCCTACTCTGCTCTGAGCAGTAGCAACAGAAGTGATCCCAGTGTGGGGTGAGAAACCCTACCCGGAAGCTTCCATCAGGGCCTGCCTGAAAGGCTGGCTCATCCCAGGACTGTGCACAGCCCACCATTATCTCATATCCTCTCCCACAGAAGACCATTGCCAGGATCTCCTGGCAGCCAGGGACACACAGAACCTATGCTAACTTCATTAAAACCATGTGAAGAAAGTTTATATATACAGGGAGGCCAAGGCGGGCGGATCACGAGGTCAAGAGATCAAAGCCAACGTGGTAAAAACCTGTCTCTACTAAAAATGTAAAAATTAGTTGGGCATGGTGGCATGGGCCTGTAGTCCTAGCTCCTCGGGAGGCTGAGGCAGGAGAATCACTTGAACCTGGGAGGCGGAGGTTGCAGTGAACCGAGATTGCGCCACTGCACTCCAGCCTGGGCGACAGAGCCAGACTCTGTCTCAAAGAAAAAGAAAAGTTATATATATATGGAGAGAGACAGAGAGAGACAGTTATGAGGAAAAAACACAGAATGTGGGTTAAAAAGCTCCAGGCTGTGGACCCAGCTGGGTCCTCACATTCCCTCTCAGGGCCTTGTGTTCTCATTGGTCCTGTGCAGGTGCTTCCTCTGAACAATGGGAGGGGAACCTTCAAAGCACCCCATGCAGAATCCTCCCAGTGGCCATCCGGGCCAGCAGAGACGACTGCTGCCACAGGCCATCAGAGGCACCAGCCCCATGAGGCGCTCACCGCCCCTGCTCCTGGCTGAGTGCTGCCCCCCTGGGTCCCCACCTCTCCTGGAGGCGAAGCTCATCTTTGGTAGCATCTGCCTTCAGTTACGCCCAAGGGACTCTGTGACTCTCTCCTGTTCCCAAAATCTGCCTCAGCCCCGTCCTGCCACTGGGCAACCACATCCCCTGCAGCCCCTTCCAGGTCACAGCCTTTGATGCCAGGATGGGCCCTCAGACAAGACTCACTTGCGTCTGGTCTATGCCACTGGGCTAGGCGTGTGGCAGGTCCCTGAGGTGCTGTGCATGGGCTGGAGCTGGAACTCCACCTGCAACCAGCAGACACCCCAAGCTGGAGGCCCCAGCGAGGCGGCGGCCAGGCCTTCTGTTTATTCCATCGCCAGGAGGGACCCCCAAGGTGCCCAGTTACCATCTGTCGACTGACTCAGCTCTGGAGGCTGCTTCAGGCTGGGGATCCTCATTGCAGTGCCCACCCTGGGGATAAAGCAGCCTCTGGCTGGGGAAGAGCCAGGCAGGGAAGATCCGAGAGCCATCCTGGATGGTGCATCCTACAGAGTAGTGGCACTGCCGCCCAGAGAATCACACTCTGCAGGGAATGAGAGCAACACATTCCTACCCGGGACCAGGACTCAGCTGGCCCAGGGCGCAACCAAACAGAGAGCATGGCAGGGTGGAGGGAAAGTGAGAACAGTGAGGAGCGATCAAAGCTAGCGACTCTAGGGAAGTTTGCCCCCAGCAGGTACACACCCTACCTCGTCTCCAAAGCAAAAGCTATCCCAGCTCAGGTGACAATCCCTGTCAGGAAGCTTTCAGGGCTCTCTGCAAAGCCCACCATCGCCCCTAATTCTTGCTCAGAGGAGAGCGTGGCCCTGCTCTCCAGGCAGGCAGGAAAAAGCGGAATCGAGGCTAAATGCATAAAAATCATGCAGCGTTTTATTTTGCGGTTCCTACCAACTGCTCACCTGTGCCTTCGTTGCCTGTTGCCCTGAGGCCAGGTCTGACAGCTGATGGCACCTCCCAGCTCAGGGAGGAGCAGTCAGGGCAGCTCGAGATGAGATGTCCGTGGGGCAGAGCTCTTTAGAAACCTCACTTCTCCATCAAGCTCAAGCCTCAGCCAGCCACGTGATGAACGCTTTTACTGTTCTCTTTGAGAAAGGAGGACAGGAAATTTTCAAGGCTCATGCCATTTCTGTATTTCAAAAACAAAACAAAATGCACAAATCGAAACACCTGTGCCTCTGGCCTGTCTTGTAGCTGACCCAAATACTGCTGGCTTATGAGATAGCCAGGCTGAGGTCGTGAGGACCACCCCAGAGAGGGCGAGAAGGATAATAGGGCACATCCTCATCTCCACAGAGGTTCAGGCCGGTGGTTACGGCGGTGGGTCTCAGGGTAGCTGTGTCTTGGTAGGACGGCCCCTCCCTTTTCCTCTTCCTGCCTGCCTGCCCCTTGGGAAGCATCTGATTTGCAGGTACCTGGGTTTCCCAGCCCTGCGCTTGCCAGCGGCAGGATGGTGTGATTGTCGCACAGACACTGCACAAGCTGCAAGCTGAGGGGTTGATGTGGTCCAGGAAGGGCAGGCCCTTGTGCAGCTTCCCCAGCTACGGAGGAAGGCGCAGGCTGCGGAAGGCACCACTGTTCCCGCAGGGAATGTGTCTCACTGGAGAAGATGAGGTGGCAGGGGAACAGTCACCACCTTCACACAGAGACAGAGCCTTGGCAGGGCCGCCCAGGGGAGCCGCGTCAGAATCAAATGTCCTGACAGCCTAGAGAGCCAGACGTGGTGTGCTGGGCTGTGCATTTCAGGAGAAAGTTAGTACAGCCCAACAGAGAGATGACAGACAGGGGGCTCTGCTAGCAACGCGACCTCCTCTCCCACCAGGGCACCTGGCGAAACCTTGACCCAGTGGGATGAGAGAAGTCGTTTCTGAGATCGTCCTGGAGCAGCCGGGGTAGCCCTGTTTGCTGGTCCCCTTCTGGGGGCCACACTGCCTGGGTTCACTTTGGCCTGAAATGAAATGACCAAGTCTTGGTGCACTGGGGCACGGATGGGAAGGACGCTCAATCTTGTCATCTCGAACTGCTCAAAGTGCAGACTTTTGGTATCTGTATCAATGATAATTCTGCAACTGGGCTCTCGCTATGCCTAACGCCCCACTGCACAGCCCTGTGCGATGCTAGGAGGTAACAGGCTGGCCCCTCATGGGGCACACCAAGCACAGAACCACCTCCTGCTGCCCAAGAACCCAGCTGCTCTCCTTTTCGTGCGCACTCTCCTGGCATCAGCCCTGAGCCACAGACAAGCAGTTTCTACAGATGCCCTGGATTTGGGTGGTACAAGAACAATCCCCTTTTGCCTTCCACTAGTGCCTCCCCACCTTGCAAGAGGTGAGTGCTCCACAGGCATCCCTGCGTCTTGCCCTCCAGCTGTTCCCACCCCATCCACCAAGCACAGACTCTGCTTCCTTCTCAGCCTTGAGCCAGGGTTTCATCCCCTCCTTCCCTGCTCAGTCCCTTTGCTGCCCTCTCTCCAGAATAACTGGCTCGCTCAGGAAAGTGTTTCTGGCAGATGAGGGCATCTTAGTTACTGTAGCTGAGGTCGGGGTTCGGCTGCTGTTGCAAAGGGCCTGCAATTTCCTTTCATGCGGGGCAAGAAGGTGGTGCTCTCTGCAAAACTAATTCAAACCAAACACAAGCAAGGCCTGTTTTATTATCTCCCTTAAAAAGTGGAGCGAGTAGGCCAGGCGCAGTGGCTCATGCCTGTAACCCCTGCACCTTGGGAAGCCGAGGCGGGCGGATCACCAGAGATCGGGAGTTCAAGACCAGCCTGGCCAACAAGGTGAAGCCCCGTCTTTACTAAAAATACAAAAATTACCCAGACATGGTGGCACATGCCTGTAATCTCAGCTACTTGGAAGGCTGAGGCAGGAGAATCGCTCGAACCCAGGAGGCAGAGGTTGCAGTGAGCCAAGATTACACAACTGCACTCTAACCTGGGCAACAAGAGTGAGGCTCTGTCTCAAAAAAAAAAAAAAGCGGAGCAAGCATACCATACAGATGTAAACACCGCACAACCAGGATTGATCTCTTCTCACTTTTGCCATGTGGAACTAGGCAGAAGAGCAAAATGAGAGATATGTGGAGGTAACTGCATTAGCCATGCGCTGTAGAAAAAATCACAAGAACATTGCTCTAAGTTTCAGAATAGGCAGTGAGGTAGCCACAGCCAAAAGTATACGGAGAAAGGAGGGCTCTGGACTCACTGAGTGTGTAGCCCAGGGACCGGCAGAGCCCCAGGGAGGTGAGTATGTGTAAGCAGGAGTGGCTGGAAGTGAGGTGTCGTGGTAAGACCACTGAAACAGGATCTGGCCTGCCGCAAACTGGCTGTGTGGCTTGGTTAAACCACTTACCTTCTCTGAGCACCTCATTTCCTCTGTCCAACAAGAGAGCTGGACTCAAGCTCCTGTTTCCTTTCCAGCTCTAATGTCTTTGATACTATGACTCGGAATTATGAAAATGAAGATACTGAGAGAGAACACAGTAACCCCCTACTTAATGCTTTAAATCCTGCTCTCATGTGTGATCTCTTAATTTGAATAATTAGAAATATCTGTGCTTTGCTCAAAGTCTGCACTTTGAACGGTTGGAGCTGAGGAGATTGAGCACCCTGACCATCCGTCCATGCCCCAATGCAAAGAATTGGTCATTTCATTGCAGGCCAAAGTGAACCTAGACACAGCGTGGACCCCAGGAGGGGATCTGTAAACAGGGCCACCCCAGCTACTCCAGAATGAACCCAGAATCAGCTCTTCTCGCCCCTCTGGGCTGAAGTTTTGCCAGGTGCCTGGTGGGAGCCACCTTGCTTGTTATTAAGATTTGTAACTTGGGCTGTATTAATTTTTTCCTGAAATAAACACGTTGGCACTCACATGTGTGGGAGTATATGGTCATAATAAAGAGCTCAACTTTTAAATAACTTGGTCTTTGTTTGCAACCTCTGATCTAGTACTTCCCTTTCTAGGAGTCTACCTGAACAAAGGGTCAGACATTCAAAGGTTAGTGTACAAAGATGTGTCATTTACCCTTAGTAGTTAAGGGGGAAAAAAAAAAGGCAAAAACAAAAAACCGAATTAAAATAAATTATGGTACAGCCCTGAACATGTTTTCATTTGAAAACACTGGAAAGTATTCATAGAGTGAACATACACACATACACATACACACCCACATACACGACACGTATTGCTAATATCCGCCGTGTTCTTTTCCTCTTGGAGACTGGATTCAGGTTCAGAATCCTTCTTAACACTGTGAACAACCACTACCAGTCCGTTGCAGTTGGCATTCAGATGAAACCTATGAGCCACCTCAGTGTGGGGACCCTTGAGTGACAAGCACAACAGTCACGTTCAGGACAGAAGAGGAAGCCAAGTGGACTCTCAGTAGCCCAGAGGCCCGGCAGAATCAGGTTCCCGAGGCTGCGATCCTTTCTCTCAGACCAAAGACCAGAATGGAGGCGGAGGGCCCAAAGGGGTTCAAGATATTCCAGTTTGGGAGGGTAAGATGGCACCAAGCATTGGGCAGTGGGCTAGGGTCACAGAAGGTCAAGTGAAGGTGAGTGCCAGGTCACAAGAGAGTCGTTTCCTAGGAGGAGGCTATCAGAAATTCAGTTCCTACTGCTTCACTTGGAATGATCAGAGCAGAAAAATGCTTTTGAGACAAACTCACCAGGTTCTAGGATTGTTTTCTTTCCGCAGATGGCGGGGTGACGGGAGTGCAGTGGGAGACGTAACCCCTTGGGAATGCAGGCTCCCAAGACTGAATGGGTGATGTGTAGTTTTTCTTAGTTGTCGGAGAATTGATAGACGTTTGGAGGAAACTCTTTCAAAAGAAATTTGCCTTAGATCTTCAGTCACCACGGGACCACTGAGATAACCAAGGTGGTACCTGAGGGTTTCTGGGTTGGCAGACAGAGGAGCCAATGGTACCTCTTGACATCCCAAGGGAAAGACCAGGAAGCGTGACTTGTCTCGTCTCTCCTTGTGGAGGGTGGATGCTCTCCGGGCAGGGAGATTAAGAGGCTGAGCCATGGAAATTCCTGGGCCACCCATCGGGCGGACAGAGGTAATCATGCTGCCAGGGGACACTTGGGCCCCTCACCTGCCCCTGACATGAAGGCCTGACTGCTCTCAGAGGCCATCTGTCTCCCCCTCCAACATCCTCCACCACCCTTGGGAGACTGTTTGCTCCAAGGACTACATTTCCTAGATTAGGTCCTTTATTAACCCTCGGCTGGCCGGGGGAAAATGGGCAGAGACAAGGGTCTTCTTGGCATCTTCATTTCCTCTCCCCCGCCCAACTCCAGAAATCCATTCCAAGTCGATGATATTTGCAGAGTATATTTTCGTGGGTCTCCATAATCCCTTCAGAATATTAAGGCTGCATTACTTTATCTTTGGTTACATTAACTTCAATTTTCCTTATGAGTAAGTATTTGGCTAAAAATTAATATAGTGAAGTTGAAAAGAATCTTATGATAGGAAAAAGACTAATTTCATCTCTGGCTGCTCAGATCCCGGAGTACACTGGGGTTAATGTAATTAACTTACAATTTGAGCCCGGGTTGTGTACATACACTGAATCTCCCCGCTGGAAACGAGATTAGATTTTATTACTCTATATATCCTGGTTATCTTCACCGCGCCTCCAATATTACTTCCCACAATGACTTCAAGGCTCTGTGCTGCAATGAAAATGCAGAACCATCTGGTACTGAGCCCATGCAGTTTATTTAAGGATTTAATTAAATGCTCTAAATGGAGAGCTTCTCTGAATTAACATTTTAAATGTGACTTATTGCAGGTTTAATATTGTCTTAATGCCAACCTGGGAAACTCCATCGCCAAGTTGTTGATGTTCAAATTGAATTGATTTGGGTGGCTCCAGGGGGACCCATTAATTAATCTAAACAACTAATGGGGATTGGTTCTGACTTTTGATGAAGATTATTTACTGAGACAATTTGCAATGAATAAAGAGTCACAGTAGGCAAATGCTTAATTGAATTCAAAAAAGTCTCATTGTGTTTAATATCAGGGATGCATCGTGTGAGTAAGCTTTGAAATACCATGAAAGGGGCGATTGC